GACAAGAAGGCCAAACAGGCCCTATCCGGGAATGCGTATGAGGACACACCATGGTGGATGAAGCATCCAGACTTTCCTGACCTTGAGGTTTCTGGCTTGAAATTAATAATGAATTTATAAGCCATCATATTTCGGTGATTCGTCATTGGGAAACCCTAAACTCATCTACGTGTCCAAAGGACCCCCGAGACCCTCACAGGAAACTAGGAGTCGTAATAGCTATAATCTTGGCTATTGTTTGTTTATTGTATGATCGATCATGATCATGATACTGTAGCACCCAAAACCGCAAGCCTAAACACGAACCCCAAGCCTAAAGCCAAACCCCCAAGCCTAAACCCAAAACCCCAAGCCTAAACCCAAATTCCAAACCCAAAATATAAACACTAGCCCACATACCCAAAACACATATGTACCTTGATTGTCGAAGTCGATGTCAAGGACTATGAAATGTATCTATGCTTCGACACAGCCACGATTTCGAAGAGGACTGCCGACAAGCAGGACACTTCAATGACTGCTGGTTTGGAACTCACCGGAGAGCAGCACCGCATGATGATGACACTAGATTGCAACTATGCAGGCCCTAGCTATATAGTTAATATAATAAGAATCCAAAACCCGAAACAATTTATCGATCCTTCGAACCCTAGCCACTAAAAGCCCAAACCCTATAAAGAATATATCGATCCTTCGAACCCTAGCCACTAAAAGCCCAAACCCTATAAGCCCCCAAACCCTACACCCCCAAACCCTAGAGCCCAGCTAGGTCGTCCATTGGTGGCCGGTTGCCGGTACGTCTCGGAGAGCACAGCCGCCAGTTGACGCGCTCGGACACCAACAACAGCCTTGAAAGCCAAGGCAGCAATATCAAGAACAAGAACAAGAACAAGGGAAATGAGCAGAAGGCTGTCAATTGGGTTGCGAAGGGCAAAGCGAAGATCAAAGATGCGAGATCCGTGGCTACAGACTCCCGTTGCCTTCGACGGCAAATCGAGCAGAATCAGAAGAACCCAGAGACCTCGAAGCTCCTCGACTGTCCTATCCCTGTACCCTCGGTTTTCATGTAGGGGTTACTAGCCCTAGGAACAATAATTAACTCATCATTTTTGTCGGGATGTAAACTATCTAAATAAATAAATAAATATATATATATATATTATAAAGCCCTTTTCCCCTAAAAGAATAATAATTTCAAATATACTCATTAATTTCTAATAGTAACAATTAAGAATATTTAAAATAATCCGGAAAGTTGTAAATTTGTAAGCCTTTGCTAATATATGCTAAGGTCTGAGGATATGGTCAAAGGCTACAACAGTGAGCTGGACAAGTACACGACTGAGATCGAGAAGGCGATGGATTCCCTGGAGGCCGTGCTAATCGACGGTGCGAAGGAGGAATCGGTCATCAAGCCACATTTCGATGGCCTTGTGAAGAGCATGGAAAATTACACGAAAGGTGTTAGAATGATCAAGCAGGCCTATGCATCTCGGATGCAGCATCCTAGACTAAATGTTATGATTAATGTGACGAACTCCAAAACTATAAACCCTATCCCTACGTTATACCCTCAACCCTATACCCCTAAAAAACCTTAACCCCTAAACCCCTAAACCCTAAAGCCCAAACCCTAAACCCTAAACCCCAAACCCAATAACACTTCAATTGCTGAGCCCCAGCCGAAGAAGAAGGGCAAGGCGAAGGCGGCGCCCAAAAAGGCATGAGCAGACCGTCCACCCAGTGACCCGTGCGTGAGTGTCTTGGGAACACTCGAAGGGTTTTTTGGGGTGTGCCCAAGTTTCGGTTCGACGCTGTGTTTGGTGTGCAATGATGATTGACTGGCTCGGCTAGACTTCACCACTAAACCCAAATCCTAGGTGTACACCCTAGCCAGACGACAAAAAACCCTAGGCCTCGTACTTGCTCTAGCTGGATCATTTTTCTAGATAGATATCTAGATTAAATGCACAGCCATCTTCAACCCAGCTAATTAGCGGGAGCCTTTATCATAAAATATATGTACATAGATCTAGATCACCAGCTCAAGCCTATGATAAATTAAAACACCCTCTACAATCCCTCTGAATATTTAAAACAACTTATTTATAAACCCAAACCCTAAACCTCTTTAGGCTTTAAACGCTTGCACTGCAACCTGCGGCAGAGTTGCAGCCGTGCAAGTGAAGTCAGCAGCAGGCCAGTCGTCGTTTGATCATACCTTAGCGACACAGCTGCTTCGATCTTGGTGCCAATTAGCCACTCGACCAAAAGGTCGTCGTGTGAACTTCGAACGACATCTGCAATCAAGCAGTGCATTAGTTCTGGCAGTGGGTGGATGCTGCTGTGCCATGAGTGCTGCTAGCGCTGGATGTGAAAACTGCAACGCCCATATGTCGATCTACGCATACTTGTAAAATATTTATCAGTATCGTTACCCTCCCTGCGCAGATAATGGTGGATGTGGACGACGAGCCGGTGGTAAGCTACACCACTGCCTCACTGCAATGATCTCGACTGGGGTGGGACGGATGAAATTATTATAATAAGTTAATGGGTATATTTAATCAGGGTTGAGGGTCTAGGGTTATATATTATGTATACTACGGGTTAATACACTACAGAAAACCCAAATTTTAAACCCTTTAACAATCCAACCCTAATGGTGAATTTAGATTAGATATCTTATAATTCTAATTTACCATTAGGGGTTATAGGCATACTAATAAGTTCTAAATAATACTTAGGGTTTAAAATATCCTGCAGGAGCTCAGTTATGCTTCGGCCCAGAAGGTTGCACATGCCGCTGCTGAGGTGGGATCTATACGTATACTAAATCTAGAGTGTCGCAGGTCAGGTTCGGGGAGGGATTAGGGGCCTCGGGTCTATAGGATCCGGATTCTATGTTGGGGTTTATATTGCCCAGCTGCCCTGCAGGACGTCACCAGCCATGGGGTTCAACCTGACGGCATGCTCGCTGGGCTTGCAAGTGCTGGGAGCAACGGGGAGCACGTATCGAACATAGAGCGGGATGTTCTTCGACGAACTACTGCCTGCCAGGCTTGAAAATTATCGCCTAGCCCACCCTAAGCCCCGACCCTGGATCCCTAATATAAAAATAATTATGTAAAATTCGACCCTGCAGGTTCCCACTCGGATGGTGCCTGTTCCAGTTCGAGTGAAGCGGCGAGGTATCTGGGTGGTGGAGGACAGGTTGCCCGACAATTCATTATATTGTACTTATATGGGATCCCGGACCCAATAAAGCTCCATGTTTGTTCCGATCATGGTATAATCCTCTCTAATGTTATTCTAGAAAGATCTAGATCTTATACCAATAAACCTATGGCTAGCAACCCATGTGTTATAAGTTTAAAGATCCTATATAATTATTTAATTGTTTGTTGTCAGATGGGTTTAGAGCGAGGCTTATGCCTGTCATCCTACCTCACGAGCTGGTGGCTGCTCTGCATAAGACCGGAGAGCTTACAAACATGTACGACATGCAGGGCCTGCGGGAATATTGGGATCATGTTATTGGCCATGCGACGACGCAAGTGCCCTGGCCGAACAATGTTCCTGATATGATCCTGCCGGCGGGATTGCATGGAGACGATTGCCGCTTTACAGACACCGGTGAGAAAATTGTGGTGATCAGTTGGAACCTCGTCCTGGATTCTAGGCAAGTACGGTTTCCACTAGCAGTGATACGGTTCGTCACTTGGCTGCATGCCTAGAATTAGTATAATTAGTTTGAGCATTGGGGGCTTCGTGGGCTTCGGGCATTATTATAGGGTTGAAGGGTTAAAAGCGGTATATAACGTTCACATTAAAGCTAGACAATCCCCCCGACGTCGACATTTAGTTCCGGATCGGCCAAGCCACATATGCCACATAGTACCAGCGGCTAGCGCTACCAGCATGCGCATACAGTACAATCATGGCCAGGCACTGAGCACAGGATTTGCTACGCTCCAAGCGCTACTGCGACCGGTGCCTTGCAAGGAGAAATTCAGAATTGTTTTTTTATTTATTTCTAGTTCATGTGTACTACCTATATATCTCAATAATAACCCTATCAGCCGAATCCTGCCAAGATCTCGGCATCCTTCAACTACTGCATGCTCGGTGCTGCCCCACTTTGTCTAGATGCTACACAGCTGAAACCAGATGAAGTGCCAGCTCACGAGTGCATGATCCCAGAGCCTAAAGTGACCTTCCCCAAGAGCTTTCTTTCGGAGATTCGGGCCGACTGGAAGTTCATGAAAGCTCCCTGGCATTGTCGATGCGAGTTGCTCGTATGACTATAATCACCCATAAACCCTACGAACAAACCAATAAATAAATTAACCCCTAGTCCTAATCCCTGATCAGCCCTAATCCCTAATCCCTAAACCGTACTCCTAAACCCTACACCTTATAACAAAATCATCCCTGAACCCTAAACGCTAAAGTGAGTAGGAGCGGTTAATAGAAGGAGCTCTTTTATCTGTCCACCGGATGGAACAGCAAATTCCTCTGCCACCACTGCTTCGCTACATCCACAGACTATGTTCGATACCCTTCCCCACTGTGGCATCTCCTTCGCCGGTCAGTTGAGAGCTTCGAATCATGCTGCAAAGCCCATCGAGGAGACAAATGCTGCTTACTTCGACCTTACTTGCATGCATATATGTGTGTGTACTGTGTGTGTGTGTGCCGATTCGATTCCTGTGTAGACTCGGTGCTGAGGCTATCTACTTCAGGTGCGAAGTTTGCATCACTCGATGTGCCGTTGGTGCTCGCTCCACTCAGTGAATTTGGGAATCATTCAATGGGTGGCAGGCTCTCTGCTGCTCGAAATATTGAAATACCCGGACTCCCAGCCATGAACCAGCATATGTGTACATGTACTTAGGCCGTATATAAAAAAAACTGCATGAGCATCGTAGTACCGATTAGCATGCCCCTGTGTGCAGGATGTTTGGGTCGCACCGGACCGGACTGCTTCCAAAGACGAGATGAATGCACGTCTGGCCCTTGCATTCGAGGATTTCAACACATGGGCGCGGGAGCGCCGTATCGAGAAGCACCGATTGCAATTAATGCATGCGTGCTTGTCTGCATGCGCAGTTTTAATCTAAGTGATGTCGACGAGCGATGCAATTTCCGAGGCACTCACAACCAGAATTTTGTGCAAAGATGCTGAGAGATGTGCAGTCCGGGTATGCAGAACTGGCTATGAAGGGCCATAATGCCGCTTGCTTCAGATCGGATATATCGAATCGAATGCTGTGCAGTACTTGTACTAGTACTAGTGACAAGCCTGATCGTGCATCGTGAGCATTATAATAATCAAGGCCAGGGTGGTCATGGCCTGGCTTGCCGACTTTGTCCTGAGCCTTCGAAGCAAGCTCCCTGCTGATCAGCGAACCGAGCGGATGGACGAGATGTCGAAAGTAGCGTTTCCAGGATTACTAGCATATGAGTTTGGTGTTCGAGGGTCCTCAAAGGGCCTTGGGCTGCTTTCACGATCAGGTTCTGGCTGGCGGAGTTTTTCAACCGCATGGAGTGCTACGGGCACTACTTGTCCGATGTGGAGAAGGTCGGGCTTCAAGAAACCTGCGTGGCTTGGCTGCAGGCTAGTGATCTAAATAGATCAAATATACGACAAATATGGACGACAACGACAATCGTGCATCATATGCGGCCTTAAGGACAAAATGGGGTTGGCTTATATCAAACTGGCTTCGATGGCAGCTGATGGTGATGAACGGCTTTGGATCTTGCGCCCAAAGCTGCACGTTTCTTGCAGGCAATTGGGCGCCTATCGGCAGCAAATATTAACAGCATACAGCATAAAAGTATCCGCGCGTGCAATCTCAGGCGATGCAAGAACTATGCCATTTCGCGACGGTCGATGGTATCTTGCATGCAATTATTGCAATGAACCGGCTAGTCCAATCCCCAGCTGTGCCCGATCAGGCATAAATCCGAAATATTATCACACCTTCCGTGATGAGTCCTATAGGGGGACAGTTAAAGGCCCGGAAATGCTGTTCGTGACTTGTCGTTTTCAGCCTGTGCTGTTTCGAACACACCTTTTTCGGTCCAGACAAGGTCTAGAGTTTAGGGTTTGGGGGTTTAGGTTTTAGGGGTGAGCCTCTTGGGTCGAGAAGTCGGTCATGCTGACTGCCTGCTGGAAGACTTTAATTTAATTTTCAATGAATTGCGAAGGCATGTAGACTTTGGTAGGGTTTAAAATTTAGGGTTTAGGCTTAGGGTTTAAGGTTTAAGGTTCGAGGGGGTTGGTGTACTCATTTGGCAAATCCCTGTGCAGCCATCGCCAAGCAGTGCCATCGACGAACCCTGGAAAGCAGCCTGTTGAAAAGGGTATATGCCAGGAGCCTTGGATTGATGAGTTTGGTTTTTCGAAACTCCTGATCATGGTAACGTGCTCGTTATGTCGTTGCTCCCGGTATGAGGTTTCCTTCGATGCCCTGAATCTTCGCAGAATGCGACTAATTCGAAGATCTTAGATGGTGCACATGGTGCAGTTGTCATTCACAGCTGCTTTTGCCGGTGCATTTCGAGCAGCCCGAGCAACCCGAGCCATGCGGACGCAAAGAAATCAGGTCAAGAGCTTGGGTCCGGGCGTGTGCAAGATGAGCATCATGTGCATCATGAGCAAAAAACGCATCCAGATCACATCCAGCCCTCGAGGTCACTGTACATATAAACACATCACTTTTTACATAAATCCTGATACCTTTCAGGAGATGGTTTCTTCGATACATTTATCGTGAGATTGGTTTTTCCACCTAATACCATAACCCTGAATACCTTTGGACCCTCTGGGTTCACCTACTTGGATGACCGTCCCTTAATAGGTGATGACCCCTTGCAGTTTGAAAGCGCCCTGCAGGCGTCTGACGATCTTGATAAAGCTCTTGGGCCTGCCTTGAATATGGACAAGTGCCAACGTGCTCTTGCTGGTGGTCGTGCAGATGTCCTTTCACGTGTAGGTCCTCTGCTGCAGCGTTTTGCTGTTGCCCCTGTCTTGAAATATATGGGCATTGACATCGGTGTGCGTGGTCGTGCTCGGCCCGTCGCTAAGGAGCGTGTTAAGTGCCTTCACAGAAAGTGCCAGGCTGTGCTCCAACTCCCTTCTGTGGTCCGCAGTGACCTGGCTGGTGACGCTGTTAGCGCTCTTTGGTTGCAAGGAGGTACCGCTCTCTCTGAGCAAGAGTGTTCCGATGTAGTCTCTTCAGTCGCTTCGGTTCTGCGTGGCCCCAAGCCTGCTGGTCGCGTCTGCTTGCGATCCAGGCTTGCTGAGCTTCTTTTGTATCCTCCGGGCTTGCATCGGGTCCATCCCCAAGCTGTTGCATTTGTGAATGCCATTAATGTGGCCTGTGCCTTGCTTGCCCTTCCTGGTTCAGCCGCTCTTGGGCAAAAGATCTGGCTTGGGCGGCACCAAGTCCGTAGCGGAATTGTCCGCCAACTTCACAGTGTCTGCTCTTTCTTCCAGATCACGTGGGCGCGTCCTTGCGAGTTTCGCTGTGGGGACTGCTGTGTCCGTTTTGGCGCTGGGGGCGTTGATAAGCACTTGTGCAGGGAACTTCTTCGCTGTGCTGCTTGGAGACTTGCAGCTGCAGATCGACGCAAAGACTTTGCCGGCTGCGAAGATGGTGTCTTTCGGTCAGCCCAAGTTGCTCGCATGTTAGGCCAGGCTTGTGGGCCTTCCCTCCTCACTGGCGGCCAGTGGACGGCCGGTAAGCTGTTTTTGTCGAGACTTTCAGTCTCCAGCGCCTGTGTCCGATGTGGATGATGCTCCTTCGAGACTCTCTCGCATCGTCTGTGGGAGTGCCCCGATGACAGCGCTGACAGAGCAGAGTTTTTCTCGAAGCTGCGCCCGGAGGTGATGCTCCCAAACTGCTTGAAGGAGTTCGGCCTTGCACCTGCTAAGACGTCTGACTCAATCTGAAGTGTGTCTGGTGCAGCAGTATCTGCTGAATGTGGCGGTTAAGGCGACTCGTGCCTTGGCACTAGAGCATCCGGATCCTGCTGAGCTTGCTGAGCCCTCTGTCCCCCTTTCGGGTTTAAACCCTTTTGGTTTAGGCTCTTCTTCTGAGCGCCCTGTTTCTGATGAGTTGACGGTGCCTTCGGGCTCTGCTTCGGGTTTAGACCCTTCTGGTTTAGGCTCTTCGGATAGTGGCTTCCCTAGTGACCCGCATAGGCTTCTCCAGCTTCGATGACGTGTTGTGCCGCCCTCCACCTTGGCCACCGGAAAAGGGTGTGTAGGTAAGGGTGGCTTTTGTTTGCTGCTGCGTCCAGGCCGACCCTGGATGGTCAATGTTACGTGTTGCTGCGCACCTTCACTCCCTCTCCGCTTGTCCCCATACTTCCCGACCTCCAGGTCGTTGCTCCTAAACAATACTTACTCCGTGCCCTGACTGCCGTGTTGCCATGGGGATCTCGGCCTGCGCAGCGCTGCGGCGCATGCCCAACGACTCGCTTCGCGCCCTCAGGGCCCGCGAAAGCGGTGCTTGCGACCAGATGTTGCAACAAATCGCAGATCCTGCGCCAAGGAGTGTGATTTGCCGCTTCCTTAGAAATCACCTCACTGATTCTTGGCGGGTCCAGAAAATTAATTGGTGAGTGTTGGGATGCATGGTGAGGGGCAAAACGAAATTTCACCAACTTCGGCAGCCACAGGATGCCACAGGGGGTGTGAGTTGCCCGTTGCCTGGAAAAAAATTCCCCAATGCAATGGTTTTTGGTAGTTCCGGAAAATTCATTGGTGAGTGTTGGGCGTGAGGCGGCGTTTCGCGGTACAGAGTGAGGGCGAGCACGAAGAGTATGCGCATTACTCCTCGGATCCCTGCAGGAACGGTTTGTAATATGAAAACTCGGTTTTGCGGAGGCCCATCGTTGGGGCGCATTCCGCTGCGGAGGTGCTTGACCGTTCTCAGCTTCAACATCGGAGACGTGAAGCTCAACAAAATACGCGTAACTCTGGCGGTGCGCACGGTGGCGGGTGCAGCAGCATTGGCAAAGACATGCCTTGACTTGATAGGCCTTGGGCGTGAAACGGCGGGGCTCTGCGGGCTTGAGCCAGAATGCTAGAAAAGCAATGAATGACAAGACAAGTTGATCTGGCGTCCGCTCCGGGTTGTGGTGTATTTTGCATTTTGCAAACTCCAAATTTCATGCGTTTGCTTCCGACGATATTTACATGTAGTAGAATCTAGGACATGCAGCCCGGGTTGTTGTAATTATTGTAATCATTTTGTTTGTCCGGATCTTGCTGGGCGAAACCACAGGCATTCGTAGAACGAAGCACCTGTGCGCAATAATGCGCAATACATCCGACGAACCTTGCATATGTCACCATCGTGTGGTTTACTGTTCTATTGGGTCACAGCGCGTCCGAGGATGTGTGTGCAAGCCGAGCTGGTTGACTACTTGCATCAGTTGGCAGAGGTTTTGTGGACAGTGTCGTCATTTGCGTGTTGCATTCGGTGCCATGGTTGCCAGGCCAAAGCCTTTGCCATGAAAGAGTCCATCGTTGCAGAGGCCTTCAAAACGCAAAAATTGCGGGACTTTGTCGGCAATTGTTAGAGTTCGGCAGCGGAGAACATCCATGCCGAGGCTCGAAACTATGCAGAAAGCGATGCACCGAGCCCATCAGGTCGAGTAGGCGCCGGAGATCCGAAGTCGCAAGCTGTGATCCTTCGGTTCCTGCGTGCAGGATTTTGGGATGTGTTCCACCGAGGCCAGAGCGTTTGGCCTCATGTTCATCATTTCGGCTTCACTCGGGCCTCCAGGAACCCGGAAGGGTGAATTTCGTCCAATCACACCGGCGAAGACGGAGCTTTATCTTCCAGACATCAACGGAGCCAGGGCCTGACGGTCCTGACGTGGCATTGCGAAACCAACCACGTGTGAATACTCCGGCAGCACTGCAACCCTTCAACCGCACCCAAGCAATATCAACTTGTGCGTCCACGGAATCGCGAGGCAGGCTGGGTCCGTCCTGGAAGAAGTATGTGACTTAGACGGCAACTGCTCGCACAGTGGAAATCTGCGCATGGCCCAAGGCAATGTCCTGTCGGCGCAGCACGGACACAACGTTGGATGCTTACTGTGTCTTGTGTACCAATTGCAGACAGGTTTGCTAAGCTCCTGCATTCGGGAACAGTCTTTCCGACTTTGCAGGACGACGTCGCACACGGCACAGAGAAGGGGCCGGAACAGACTCAGATCAGAGGATCCAGCCGAGCACCGCAAGACATGGGTCAGGCCGGCGACGCAAGCTTTGAGGAAAGGCCCGTGCCCCCCAACGGAATGTCGCTGTGTTGCTGCATCCGCGCGCCGCGTCAGGCGAAGCGTCCAAGTCAGCTCCGGTGCTGGGCCGGCAGGAGCGGCGGGAGCGGCTGCGAAAGGGGGGGTGCAGACCACAGTGGAAATGCTGGGGAGGAGCTTTCAGAGCGCATTCAGAGTGCTGTTCAGGAGCAGAAGCAGAAAGACAAGCGCGGCGCAGGCTCCTTCACTGTTGCACCTGCTCAATACACATGCCGCTCGTCACATGCCACGATGTCGAGCGAAGGAGGAAAGCCGAAAGTGCCTTCCATCGGCGTAGAATTAAGGTCCCCTTTCGACGCTTCCGCGAAGAGATCCCGCAGGGTTTCTAAGCAGTTCGGCGGTTGCTTCTGCCAGGAGGCTCGCTGTCGCCGGTGACGAGGCCAGGGGGCGACAGACTCGCAAGCTGAGGGTACACAATTCGGATGTATTCGGACTGGGCGACTCACAGGCGTCATCAGTGCACGCGGAGTCTGTCTGCACACCGTAACTACGACATGCTGCAAGATTTCTGCAAACGTCAGTTGGGTTTACAACCCAGGGGTCAGGTCGAGGCATTGATTCGGTATCGCAGTGTCGTAGGGGACTGACGGAACTCAGCAAAGCCGGAAGCAAGTTTGGGGGATTGGAGATGAGTGAGTGCGCTTCTACTGCTTTGCAGGGCACGTTCACACCTCCCGGATCGATGCGTGGCTCGCTGGCCGAGGCCAAAACGCATCAACCTTAGCTGGGCTGGGCCCCACCGTTGCAACGCGTATGTCAAGGAGCAAGGCTTAATTTGCATGCCGTTGCTCACCGAGGTGGTGGTTTCAATCACGAAAGCCGCCCTTAGGCCTTGCTCCCGTCATGCACCTCGCGATGTTCAGAGCATTTGGCACGAATACGGCGGGATGCAAACTACGGCATGCGTCCGGTCGTAAGCCCGTATATGAATATCGAGCACAGCCTGGCAAAGACGATAAGCGACGAGTATCAGTAAAACGTTTTCACGACAATGCCAAAGACCTGGTTAGCAGCTCGCGGGGCTGACGTTCTCTTGGGTGCTTTTCGCTCACATCCAGCGGCACCGATGCATTCGCTCATTCAAACATCTTTTCATTCGGAGGCCGGGCAGTCCGGGCGGTGTGTTGGGATACCATGCTCGAATCCTTGCGGTCGTGCTGGGGACATTAGATACCGTGCAGCTCATGTTGCTGTAAGCCTCCTGCCAGTCGAAACAACGCAGACAGATTTTCTTCCGTCCAGGAAGCCAGTTGCTTAGTGCCTCTCTAGCGACTGGCTCTCGGCGTGGCCGTCAAATCGCCAAGGTCGTCATGCTGGCAGCAGGTCCCTGCGCAGGAGACAAGCAAGGCGCAGCGCATCTCTGCAACGTCGCAAGTGCGCTGTGCTTGGATGCCCTTGGCCCTGCGGAGGCTTTCCTTCCACGTTTGGCATCTTTAAGCTCTGGGAGCGCTGGCCTTGGTTGATGTGATGTGGCGGCGGCACGCCCTGTCGGAGCCCGTCGGCCCTGGCCCTGCGACTCCTCAGGTCCCATCGCTCATTTCGGTCCACGGCCGATCGCTCCTGGAGCCTCAAGCGTCCCGTGCTGTGCTCGCCACGCCTCGCCGCCGCGCTGCTTTCTGCTTCGTGAGAGCGTGCCCGCTCTCCAAGACACGCGCGCGCTGCGAGGAGAGAGCCTCCTGCCGACACCCCAGCCGCCGCAGCCTCGCTTGGACACGAAAGGGGTTGGCTTTCTGAATGCTTGGTGGCATGGCACAAAGGATCCTTGAGGAGCCATTGCATCTGCCACCAATTCAGCAGGCATCCGGATGTGGCAGTGGGCAGGGATATGGGGGGCATGCTACAGATTTGTGATCTCAGGCCGTGGTCCCCGTTCATGATCAGAGCCTCAAGTCTGGCGAAGAGGTTCTCTTCTTCTGTCTCTCTTCAGATGTTCCCTTGCATCTGGGCAGGATGCCACTTGGTCTGCCGTGAACTACATCCGAGCATGTCACAGGCAGCTAAAAGCGATGAGAAAAAGCTGTCTTCTGAAAATACACAGAAAGCCTCCTATGCGGCAAGGGAGCAGATCTTGCCGGTGCCTTCGAATTTTGTTCGGCGCTCGGACAGGTTCTGAGTGGAGGTGGTCTTTGCACGGCTTAGCATCCGGAGAACTGCCATAGTCTGCTCTTTGCTTGCTGGAGAAGCTCCGGGGAGGGCAGAGAATGCAGACGCCCGAAAGGTGACCGGGCATTCGCGCAGGGTGGATGCCGTTGCAAAGGCTGCACGGACCACTGCATCACGGCAGCCTCCTTCAAGATCTGTCAGGCGAGTACTGATGCGGAGCTGCTGACCTTGTGCGCAATTGGCACCGGCCTAAGGCGGTTCCAACGGGGCGTCATGTTTCAGAGTTGTCCGATCCGGCACAGGACGCCTTGCAGAAGTGGAGGCCGGGCGAGAGTGAAGGGAATCCGATATCTTCCGATTCCCGGGCTTTTCGGCGCCCAGGATGTCGACCTCTCAAGTAAGCTCCTGTCCGATGCCACCATCGCCCGGTTCTGCCAGGTGCGAAGTGTTGCAGATCCCTTCATATTTGTGCTTGTTGTCACACGCCGATTCACTGATTGTCAGGATGTTCTGTTGGCGGATCAGAACCTCCGCACGCTCCGAAGGCGCAGTCGAGATGCTCTATGCTTTGCAGTGCTTCTCCCTGCAACCTCTGCCAGGCTCAGCTTGAAAGACTCGCACGCTGCCAGACATTCGCAAGCTGCGCTGATCAGGCAGAGGGCTTGGAGTTCAACCGATGGTGACTGTACTGGGTCTTGGCCTTGTCGTGTGCCCAAGGCTGCTTCAGAAAGACGGAGCGACGAAGCTGAGCTTCCTCGACCTCAGCGGTGTTTCTGTGCAGCGATTTGGCAGTGTTCTTTCTATGCATCGGGTGCTTGCCCAGTGCATTTGTAGGTGCTTTGGAGGTGTGCACCTCCTCGCGCTTTGCTTTGCTTGAACTTGAGGTTTCGATGAGCTTGCGGAATCTGCGGCTTTTTTGTGAGACTGCCGCAGCATCAGGATGAATACTTGTGCTTGGGTTTAATGGGTGAGGACGGAGGTATGCCTGTTGTCCGTGCCGGTCCGTGCCTACCTGCCCCTCGTTTTGGGCCTTTCCCTTGCCCCGTCTCAAAATCTGCATCCCTGTCACTCTTTTTCCTGAGCTCAGGTCGAGGGCCACCCGTCGCTCCAGACCCTGAAGCTCAGCAACACCGGGCCCAGCGCACAGCAACGCACCCGCAGAACGCCCCGTGCGTAGTTGCACAGCGCGTGTGTAAGTATTTTGATGTTGCCCCTGTCGCATCTCGACGCTCGCTTTTCGGAGGTTGGGCGGTGCCTGCGGTGCCATGGACATCAAGTCCTGCCTCGCGCGGGTGCTTCAGAACAGCTGCCTCCAGGCAGGCGCTCCGGTTTCGGTTTGTGCGAGGGAGCGAGGAGGGCGACGGAGCGAATCCTTGCAGGTGCTGGACCTGGGCTGGAACTGCTTCCCTGCGGAGGACTGCGCTGAGAGAGAAGAGGCAGGGAGTGGGGCAGCTGGACCTCAGAGCCAGGAGCTGAAGTTTCTCGGGGAGCTCATTGCAAGAAACAGAAATGCAGGAGCCTTGCTCTGCTCTGTTTGCCGCTGGCCGCAGGCAGCCTGACCTGAGGTGAGCCACCTGAGCCTGGCCAACTGCGCATCGAGCAGCCAGAAGAACCACAGCATCTCCCCTTGTGTGTGCGCCGTCGTAAAGCCAGCTCTCTCTCTCTCTCTCCCCTCTCTCAGAGCAGCCGTAGATGATGGGATGCCGGAGCACCAGGTACTTTCTGGAGCAGCTCGTGAACGGGACCTCCCTTCGCAGCCTGGACATCTCCATGAACCGCCTGGACTTCCGTGGTGCGTGAGCAACTCAACAGTACTTGCCATACAGAGTACGTGTATGTATATATGCTTTATGTCTAAGTCTATGTATGCAGTATATACGGTTATAGATAGATAGATCGTCCGATAGAAAGATAAGTAGGAAGAGAGATGATTGACGGAGTTTGTTTGCTTGTAAGTTTGCCTGTGTTCTTTGTGCATGTCAATTTCAACATGGTGCAGCATCAAACTCGTGGTATCGCAAAATACCCAAAAAGGCCAAAACATGATCATTAGGCACCACGAGAGAAATTGTGCGAAGACTGAGACATGACAAAAGGGCCACCATTATATATGATCCAGGTTCGGCCGTCC